TTCTCGAATCAATTTCAGGTGCATGAGAATTAAGCCATAAGCATGCGAAAATGTGAAAATTGTTGGGAATCGTACACTAGCGCGATGGAATTTTCTATTAATCCAGGTGTTACACGTGACTAAATGTTCTAGAAAATATTTAACGGAAAAGATGTATCTTTTCGGATGAGAAATCATATTTTTGAACAAAAGCTTCATGAAATGACGTGTCTTTTGAGATGCAACCTTTTAACAATTATATATAGATTTCTCTATTTGCAATTTTATTCACTTGATACATGTACTTTTTTACTTGCGTTACGCATCAAATAAAATCTACATATAAGTTACGAGCCTTTTTTTCTTATTTATGTAAAAAGAGTTTAAAACGTCATTAGATTCACTGATCTACATAATTTCGACTGCTTCTATTGCGGGATATTGTCATCATGTCTTCAGAGACGATTACTGAAAAACTATTACTATACTTATACTAGTTATTGTCATTTTAAGGTGAAATAGTCAAATTTGCCTCTATGAAATTCATATTCATGTATTTCTTGTTTCAACATTTCTACTTTCAGAAAATTGGTTTTGCCATGTAAAATGTTAATTGCCCAAATATAATATATGCACATACATTTAACAAACACATTATTGTATTTCTGATAGACAGTGGAGTCTCCTCTATCTTCTCTACTGTGAAAAGACATGCCTTCCGTTACTCCACAAGCGATTAACATAACACCAATTTGCTTTTGAAATTGCTTGCTGACTCTTTTGCCACGATATACAGAAACCTCAAACCTGTGAATTGTGTGGATTCTAAGTTCTAACTACCATATGGTTGACTTAAAGTCAAATGTGTCAACTTGATAAGTCGTCACGAGTCAACTTCCCAACCAAGGATTTTATTTTATTTTTTGTTCTTTTCATTTATCAAGCAATTTTTAATCTTGAAAGCCAACAATTTTTCGCCAGAATGAGCTTCGCGGCTGCTTTGATGACATGAAAAAAGGACAGGAACTCTACCAGTTGCACTTCGAGGCGATAATCATTATATGGAGGAGGTAAAAGGAACAATATATGCTAGTTACATGTAAAGGTAGGAAGAAGAATCCTCATACTGCGATTTCGTGGCGTAAGTCGTATGGTAGGTTGTCACTTTGTTAGGGGAACAGGCAAGTGGCATGATTTCTTAAAATGGATCATACGGAGATTTTCCGTTCTAGCAATCTATCTTCTTTGAAGTCGTCCGTTGAGTCTTGATTGATTAATTGAACAAGTCCATTTCGATATTTCTAATTGAGCACTATCACCTTAAGTGATTAGATTTTATGTTAAGGGATATAATTCCATATCGAATAAAGATAAAAACATAGATAAACTTTTAAGACTTTGGGCTACTCCGCTTAATATGATTGACCTTTTAAAATAGAATTCCAAGTCATAACAAGCAATTCGATTCGATTAAAACTAAAAAATGAGCACACTGATTTTAAGATTGGTATGCTCAAACGAGTATCACATCGAATAAAAATGAAAAACACAGACCAACTTATGAGGTTTGGACTACTTCTTTTAACAAGATTGACCTTTTAAGATGGAATCCCAAACCTTAGCATTTTTCTTTGAAGTGATAAAAGTAGAAGACTACTGTATCGTTAAATTGCAGAAAAATCTACTCTTCTGTATATTAAATGTACACTTTTTAATTTGTGGGGTGATTAGAATATTTTAATTGTTCTACAAATATGATTAGCTAATTATATCTAAAACTAATAAAGGCAGAACGTGGAACACATTTGAGTTCCAGACCCGCTTTGCTTTTCTCTATAATGTACGTTTTTTAGAGGGGACGTTAGTCCACTAATTATTGCTTTTTTAAAGACATTATTCATATTAAAAATTATTGGCTTGAGGAAAGAAACATGACATAGAACTAACTTTATTTTTGGTGCGTGTGCTAATGCTATTGCCATTGGTGCTTGTCTCTCAAACTGCTATCACCAATTGGCTTATTACTCGTATTCGCGGATGAAGCCCCACTGCGCACCAATCTTAATTTTGAACTATACTTATCCGTAATCTATAGCTAATGCCCCCGTTTGACCCCCATTACTTAAAAATGAAAATGAGGGGAATAGTATTTTTTAGAAAAATGAGTGGTTGAAAAAGAAGGAAAAATTTTCGATTTACGTGTAATATTATTTTATGGAAGATTGTGTGGTTGAAAATAGAAGAGAGAAAAATGGAATGTAATGTAATTTAATTTAATGGGATCAAACACGGGCAAAATTTGTCGCTTGCGAGTGTTGGGATGTAGATTTTTAGGTTTTAAAGATGGTTTCAACCAATTTATCGGCAACAAGGAGAAAAATATCATTTTTTAAAAGTAAGTTCAGAGGGCTACGTGACAACATAGTAATTTTTTTACATATTCAGTGATTAGTCTTTCTTATCGAATGGACAAAGTCATAAGTCACGGGTACTCTGTAAGATGTTAGAAGCCTAAAACTTGATTTTCTTAAGAAATAAAAGCTTCGAAGGAAGCCTGAGAGGGTACCACTCCACAAAAGTTCTGGAGGATTTTCAAGCTCTTGGAGATATTCTTTGCATATTCTTACTCAATAATCCTCAAAGAAATTCAGGCGAGGCGCCTTTCGCAGCAAACCATTCTATTATAGGATTAAACCAATTTTTCTAGGAAAATCCCACAATCAGACTAATATAATTTCCATGGAATTAACTTCAAGACACAATAAAAGCACTTCTCTGAGCATTACCATCATAACAAATATATGGAAATCTTCTTACCAAGTTGGGATTTTACGATCAATATTGGTCACTTGATATTGCCCAAATTGTTATTATTGGTCATCGTGTCAGTGCTTCCCAGGTTAACATTTCTTCTTGATAGGATATTGTGTACATTGACGGGTGATGATAAAGCCTCAATTTCAAACTAAAAGAGACACAAATTTACAATGGAAGATAGACATATAATGAAATATGTATAATAGTGGGACAAGGCAAGATGCTTATGTAAGAAATGTGTGTGAAGTGTAAACAAAATGTATATCCAACCATTTGTACAGAAATTAGAAACTATGTCTAACATTAATTATAGAATATCAATATCACATGCACTATTAAACACAAAATTCTGATATTTCATGGCCAGAGATGGGCTATTTACATGAGAGAAAAACCAGTTATAAATAAAAAAAAGGCTTTAAACGCATAATTGGTCATCATAATTTACTTGAGTAATAAAAACAATATAATCATAAAATTCTATAAGAACAATAGTTCTATTGTAGATCTTTTCTTTAAAGTTTATTAAATATTGATTAGTTTTACTAATTCAAGTAATTATGTCTCCCTCTTTTTAGCTATTAAGTATTGATTAGTTTTACTAATTCAAGTAATTATATATCCCACTTTTTAGCTTTGACTTTGTTGTGGCATCATTAGTTTGTCATAATTTGAAGTAATAAGAAATTATATTCCTCAAATTCAGATGAAATATGCCAAAAAAATTTAACCTCAAAAATCATGACATGTAAAATATCCATGGGAAAGCAATATGGAAGCCACAAGGCTATGTAATAGTATGAATTCCTATAAGATAGTTTAGCATCACCTTATTGATGAGTCTAGAGGAAAGACAGATGTGTAGAATAATTTATTGTTTTAAATCACCGGATTTTTCATGTTAAATCATCAAGAAATTGAAGAACTATAGTGGAAGCGTACCTAAATCAGACATGGTTAATGCAATAATGAATTACGCGATCTTGTCTTCCAAATCTACACTCAGCCTCCTTTTTTTCTCTGTGATGGGATGTAGAAGAGAATGAATAATACATACGTGTGCTCCGAGGATCATAATCGTATTTATATAGCGACGTCCTTTAACCTAATTCGGCCCATCTTAGAATTAGGATTTGGGTCCGGTTTCTACACATATGTAAACCCACACTTTAATTGGATACATTAAAAATCCAAAATCGAAATCTTATTAGATCACTTTAATTGGGCTTAACCGAATTTAATAGCTTTCAATTTAACACACAATTATTCACATATATAAGCTCATCGATGGATTAAAAATCTTTACATGATGACCCATATAAGGATTTACATGGGACATTGCGGGTCACGTCTTAGATTTTACAAATTCGAAAATCACCTTATTGATGAATCTAGAAGAAAGACTGATGACCCATGTAAGGATTTACATGGGACATTGCAGGTCACGTCTTAGATTTACAAATTCGAAAATCAACTCTTTGCCCACACATTTTATTGATGTCCACATACATAATTACAGGTTTGGAAGCCTAATTTTCCTGTATAAAGCCTAAATCAAGTTTTTGATTGTATAATAACTAAAGTCATTCATTATTATTCCTTATTTTACATATGTGTATGTTTGTGTATTATTGCATTTGACAATAAATCATCCTCTAGCATTAACCCGTTTTATTTTAAAGATTAGGATACTTACATTGATTTACAGTATATTTATAGTAGTCTAATTATCTAATACTTCTAATTAAGTAAAGTATTTATCTAATCTAACGCCTCAATATTCCAAGTGAAATGGATCAAAATGCTAATCACATACAGCAAATATAAAAGAAAAAAGTTTATGTTAGCTTAAAAAACACAAGAGGGATGATTAAGGTTACAGTTACAAGCAGACAGATCCTAGAAAAAGATGATGGTATTGATTGACAAGAAAGCATCACTAAGTGGAGTTATTAAATTAAACTAAATTAATTAAGATGCCAAAACACAAAATTTTATCAATTTGTCATCTCAATTATTTGGCTTTGTCCTTAATCACATCAAATCCCATCTCGGTTGGATCCGTAGCTTGCACTTCATAATGGATCCCATCTAATGCCCTCCTTAGTCCATCTTTCGACGTTGCGTACAGCATTTTCGCCCTAATTCTCGATGCCGTCGGTGCCCTGAAATTATATTTTACTTAACATTTAGATAGGGTTGTTGTAAGATTTAAGCAAATTAAAAAGTTAACTAACAATCAAGGAAATGAAGTGACGGACCATGCAATGAAGAAGATCTTGCTCTTGCGGCAATTATCGACAGTAACAAAGTCGAAATCAAAGACAGCATATCGGCAATCATCCTCTGGTAGTGATGCAGCTAAATCATCGTAACCTTCACCAGCTGCACCGACTTTGTCCACCGTCACCAGCTTCGATCCCTCGTCAATCTTGAACACGATGTACCTATGAACCTTCTTCCACTTCATCTCCATGAATGAGTTCTTGCATTCGTCCGTCACCCACATGCCGGTCGTCGCCTACACAACAAAATCATAATATATGACCAGCTTATATATCAATGTGTGTGTGTGGGTGTAGAAATTGTGTGTTTACCATCTTGAAAGCCATAGCCATGGTGGTTGCAAGTCGGGAGGGTGGTCAATTTTCTTTGCTAAGAATAGTGATCAGGGTGGGGAAATATTATGATTTCGTCGAGACTTTATATGATGCTGATGCAGATCTAGTTATATAAGATTTGGTTATTGAAATGCCACTGAAACTGCAATATATTACGAGTTTGTCCATATGGATACACATCTCTGTATATTGATTCATTTAATATTCATCGTGTAACATTGATCCATTATATTACGGAGTGTGCTCTAATTTAACGTTTTAAACATGTCTCGAGCGTAAAGCACATGACAGCCATACCCATAACCAACGGATATGTCAAAAACCAGCCAATAATTCACAGTTGGCTGTGAACTAAACCCGATTGTATTGAGAGGTGCTGCCTACCTGGGCAAGTCTAATGGTCCCATCTCGGATCATGCACCTGAATCCCCCATATCCCTCTCTTGAATTTCCTCAATAGTCTTGGCGTATAAGCAAAGGGGAAGTAATGCAAATATCAAATCCCAAGCTCGAGTTTTCCCATAAAATAGCCTGACGAATGTAGGTTAAATGTTTATTTATTAGAAATTTATGTTTCAGATTAGATTATTTTGAATATTTCATGTAACCATTCCATGAACGGCAAGATTTGAAAAAATAGAGTTTTAACAAACACTAAAGTCATGCATGAGTAGACATGTTGTCTGCCCTTTCTATCAGGGCCCACAATTAATATAAACATAAACTGCATAAATTGGACTATACTTGGTGCACAAAAGAAACCGGCTAAAATAAGTAATATTACCCGCAGGTTTGGGGCAGATGCCGCAGATCAAACTAATATTGCTGTGTACTCTCGACTTTTTGCCGATGGAAAATTCAATTTGGTGGTGCATTTTAATACACATAATGTGCATTTTAACCCCACACTTTCCAGCACTGCAACTTTCCGGGGGATTTGACACTCAAGGATGTAGTTGTACAACTCTTTAATCTCTTTGCCTTGGGCATTATGGATAAATTGCCCAAACTGTACAATAGAAAATACAATGTGAATCATAGATCTCAATCAATTTTCACAAATCTAAATAGAGAATTATTATTGTTAACATCAAAAAATGCATCAATAGAATCTCGATCACCTCTCCTCGACTAAGGCATCACCTACACACTGAAACATCCCATTAGAAGGCAAATGCCACTGGTCCAGAAAAGGATCCGACGACCGTTTACATTCCAATGGTTAAGTCAACGACCGGACAAGAAAAAATATAAGTGCAAGAGAGGAAGAGATGATTTGACTAGGGTTAGATTAATTATCTTGATTGTGAAGTGATATCACATATATACATATAGAGAAGTGAATGGGCTAAGTGGGTGTAGTAAAATTGGAAATTATAGGAATCTCTAGTGTTAAAATCCTCTATTCTAAAATCAGATGGGAAGTTTCATGTTTCAAAACTCAAATATATCATGTTTAAATATTAAATATACAAATTTCATTTCAAAATCCTAATCAATTTATTTTCCTCTCCATCTCCATCTTCACAACCTCTCTATCGACGTCGCACCCACCCCTATATTTTGGCACCGGAACCACCACTCATTCAACTGTGACAGGCGCGGCACTTCTCCTCATCTCCCTTCTTCTCTCTTCCCCAATCTCCATTCTTCTCTCCCTCTCCTCGATTCCGGAACCACCCTCATCGATGGCGCAGTGGAGCAAAGGCACTCGCTGCGATGCTAATTCTGCCTGATCTACTTCGCTGCCTTGATTTTTTGGGAGTTTTTTGTTTTTGTTTCAATCTATTATGTGGTGGTATAGTGGTCGACAGTGATAATGGTGGTGGTCGTGGCGAATGTAGGATGGCATGTGAGATGCTATCTGGTGTTGGTTGTTGTATATTGGAGTCGAAGAAAAGAATGGGTGTTTGTAGTTGTTAGAAGCGGCGGCGGTGGTGATGATGTTTGTGTGGTGGCGGTGTTGTAATAGTGGCTGGCGATGGCGAATTTGGTGGTTGTGGCCGGTGTGCAGTGTTGGGCGTTCACAGCACCCGTGTGTTGTGGTTTGAGTTTCTTTGTTGGTGGAGACTAGTGAAGTGGCAAGAGATCTTGGTTGGTGGTGGCGGTGGTAGATAGTGGTGGACTGGTCGTGGCAATGGCGCAATGGTGAAGGTGAGACTTTGGTGGCTGTGGTTTGTCGAGATGGATGTGTTGATTTGTTTAAGATAGTGGTGTTGCTGTCGGGTGGTGGTGGTTCTGGGGTGACAGTGACAGTAGCGGTGGTGCTGTTAAAGGCAACGATTGTCACAAGTGTTGATGGTGGTCACAGATTATTTGGTTGATTGTGACCATTAAATTAGTTAATTTGTGATCAAGATATAATGTGTGACCTAAAAATTTAATAATTTGTGACCTAAATATTTGCGATCTATGACCCATAAATAAATTGTGACATATAAATTTTTTATCTGTGATCGATGAACAAATTGTGACCGTAAAATAATTTATGACATTAAAATTTTTTGATTTGTGACCGAAAAATAATACGTGGCTAATTAAATTGTAAATATGTGACCAAATTGTATAGATTTGTGATCTTAATATATTTAATTTATAAAATATATAATTAATCAATTAAATTATAAATAAATTTTAATGAATATCTTATTTTTGAAATTTGAAACTTTTATTCTTACTTTTGAAATGGGCAATAACTATCCTTATGAAATTTTCCTCTAGTAAAATGGGTCCAAATTCAAGCAAAAGATGCAATTGTTTTATTAAATAAGTCCAATCAATTAAATAAATAACCTCTACTAGCTATACTAGAATACCGATCACAAATTTCATTAATATTTAAAAAATTATCAAAGAATAATCTTTTAAGAGGATTAGTTGATTTTAAAAAAAAAAAAATTAGGTAAAATATGTATAAATCTATGACTACAAGATGGGTGTCACTAATTGATAGCTCCGATGAACATATTAAAGTGAATTGAAGTATAAAGAGAAGGGTATAACATAATAGATCAAAGTTTTAAGATAAAATAATAAAACATAATATTATTGATACAAAAATATTTGTATAGTTGACTTTAGTAACATAAGTTCATTTATTTTTCAAGATTCCCCTCCCCCCCCCCTCCCTTCCGTGTAAGCACTTGTACGTCTCACAAGTCCTTGTCAACCAAGAAGTGTAAAGGAGGCTGAGGTCTATAGGAACGATCCATTTACCCTTTTATCAAATGAGGAATTGAAGAAGCTGGAAATATGTTGGTACATTTTCTCATTGAATGTCTTCTCTATCTAGAACTTGGAAATTGTGGATCCACCCAATGCAAAATCAAAAGCATACACAACGTCACTGTAAACAGCCGAAGGCTCACAAAAAGAGAGAATTTCGAATTTAGTGTGCATGTACGACACGTGGAATAAAAGAGAGAAAATTATGGGAAGTGAACGTAAAAATCTCATGAACTTTATTTTATAAAGCTCTCGTGTCCTGGTCTGTGCCATAGCTCACATACATCAATGTCGTTACCCCTCTCAAAGAAGGAAACAGAGGATAAAAAGCAAAGGTCCCAACAGGTTACGGGAAGAAAGGCTGAAGGGGAAAATAATCAATTATAAGGGTTAACTTTGCTAAGGAATGCATTTTATACCATTGAGTAATTGTCTAAGTCAAAGAGAAACTTCAACTTCAAATTATTTCATTTGAACACTGTAATGCCCCGACTCCTATGGATCGGAACGCTACTTACTTTACTTAGCTTAACCGGTAGTTTAGTAACAAGTGTATACGTTTTAGCGGAAGCTTACATCTTTGGATAATAATTTAAATAACAATACTTCAAATACTTTAAAGAAAAACACTGAATCATTTTTCAAAACAACAAAATGTAATTTATTTGAAAAAAACATAACTTGTTCTCACATTCTACGTTTTTGAAAACTTTAAAGATATAACATTGGAAAATATTTCATAAAAATAAATCCAAATCACTTATTCACGGGATTTAAATGGCCTCGTTGCATCACTCTCCATCTTCTCCTCCATCCATGCCCGATGCAAAATTCCTTCAATTTGTAGAGATGGGATTAAACCCGTGAGTTGAAAAACTCAATAGGTGTCATAGGTGCATTCGTGATCAAACTATACATTTCAAAACATTAACTTTATAACTTTTCATACATGTTGTACCCGGAGGTACCATTTGACATGAAGGGATATGCCGTACCCAAAGGCACCATTTGACATACGAACATTTTTTCAACATAGAGGGGTATGCCGTACCGGAGTACCATTTGACATACAAACATTAACATGAATCGAAACTTATAACTTAACACGATTAAACACATTGCACTTCTACCTACCTTGATTGATACTTTTGAAACTTTGAAAACTTGGATTGAAAACTTCGATAAAACTTGGACGTTGAAAGAAATGCACTCCTTGGATGTTTGAAAACCGTTGAGAATTGATGCTTGAAAACACTTCTTAAACTTCTAGGAAAAATAGTTTTCCTCCCTCTTTTTTCTTTCTTGGAAACTCTTTCTTTAATATGTAAAAGCTCTTGTTTTTGGTGTGAGAAAAAATGAGTGAAATGAGGTCTCTATTTATAAGTAAATATCTCATAACTTAAAGCAAATGAAGGGTCAAATTTCATTTAAGAGAGAAAACATGGGTGCCATTTAAGTTTGAGATTAAATACTTCAATTTAGTGGGGTTTTTATTGTAAAAAACGTGGGTGGCCTTTTGAGAAAATAATTGATGAAAATAAATATTTAAATTCTAGGGAAAAACGAGAATTTTCATTTCAGGCAGTTTCGGTCGACCGGTTGTAGTCCGGTTGACACTGCACAGTTTTCAGTATTTCTATCATAACTTCTTCTCCCGATATCCGATTGAGGTAATTCAAAGTGCGTTGGAAAACTAACTCAAAGAGCTACAACTTTTATTTAGATATCATTTTTCAAGTCGAATGTTTCCTATGTCGAAAATGGGTCTCAAA